ATCTACCTAGGCCTGCGGCGCTGACACCCGAGTCGGGCAAAGGCCAGGGTCGAAAATGGGCCTGAGGCCCTAAAAGTCACAAATTTTCCCCCTCGGGCTTTCATTTTGACGAGTAACCCCACCAGTGACCATCAAATATCTGGGGAAAAACATTAAGATACGGCTCTACTTTGATGAGTTACCCCTTAGGAAACATTAGAAAACTATTTTTAAAAAACGTCATTTTGAAATCTGCGGTTTTTGATTTTTTTTAAATCCAATTTTTGAGCTAGAATGCTCTTCTGCGAACTTGACCTGTCTTTTTATGACACAAAACGACCCTGAAAGTCCCAGGTCGCTAGCTCAATAGGGTGTTCCAGGCTATCTAGAACGGAAGTGAAAAAGAACAAACTCACCGATTAATCTGTTTCCGTCTGCTCAGTTTGAGAAATTGCCATGGTAGTTTGGTACGATTCTAACCTCTCAAATATGGAGGCGAGCTCGAAACTGACCTAAAAGTTTTTCATACCTGAAACGCCGTCGTGCCACGTGATGAGCTCAACCAATCAGAGCCACCACGGAAACAGAAAAATCAGTGAGTTTGTTCTTTTCCTACTTCCGTTTTAGATAGCCTGGAATACCCTATTCGTTCTCGAGTTATCGTGATGACAAACAGACAGACACAGTCGAGAAACTTTTTCACCACTGGAGTAATAGGCTTCGCTAATCGCTCAGCCAACTAGATAGATGTACGCCAGACCACGTCTCTGGGGTCATTTTCGTGTGGAAATCGCCCTCTGGCGACTAAATGGTTAGAGATAGAGCCAAACGGACAAAATTTTGGCCCAAGGGGCTCTACTTTGACGAGTTACGTCTTAGAATTTTTTATTTTTTTTTTTTTAAAAGAAATATTTTGGGATTTTCGGTTTTGATTTTTTTGACAGGTCAATTTTCAAGCTAGAGGGCTCAAAATCAATACAATTCTTGCTTTTTATGCTACAAACCTACGCTAAAAATTTCAGGTACCTAGCTCAAACCGTTCTCGAGTTATCGTGATAACAGACTAACAGACAGACCGACATGAAACTTTTTGATCATCACTGGAGTAATAGGGTTCGCTATCACTCAGCCAAAAGGAAATATGACGAAATAAATTTTAATATAAGAAAATTAAAGCACTGGGGGAGGGAAGTAACACACACCTCTTGATTTTTGTTTACTTTTGGGAAGGTGGTCGATATCTGAACTAGACTTCTCACTGCTTTTCCTAGGCGTATGGAAAGAATCCAAATTGCCTTCAAATTCATCACAACCTGTAGGTGATCCTTTTTGTGAATTACTCCATGTTGAGCTCATTCTTTTAAAAATTAAATGTTATTGATATTGACAGTTCATTACATCAATAAAATACTTTGAATGTAAAATCACCTGTAATGTTAGAGCTTTTATGAACCTGGCATCGGTAGCTATGCGTCGGAGCCGCCAGCGGTCGGCCGTGTGGGATCACTTAGCCCAGGACACGGAGCCTTCAGGCCTAACAAAAATTGTAGAAAGCTGGATTTTGGTACACTGGTAGATTCGGAACTCCTCTCTTACCTCGATTTTAGTCCCCGGCGATCCGAGGTGTGCAACCCGAGATATTGAACAAGAAGGGCCTAAATGCAGGACTTTGCGGTATTGGCCATAGCTCCGGAACTACTTGAGCTATGTGGACGGGGTGGGT